CACCACCCGCCTGCCGCGTGAGAAGCCGGTGCCCCGGCCGCGGCCACTTACACGCTGGCAACAGTTCGCGCGTCTCAAGGGCATCCGTCCCAAGAAGAAGACCAATCTGGTGTGGGACGAGGAGAGCGGCCAGTGGCGGCGCCGCTGGGGCTACCAGCGCGCCCGGGACGACACCAAGGAATGGCTGATCGAGGTGCCCGGCGGCGCCGATCCTATGGAGGACCAGTTCGCCAAGAGGATTCAAGCCAAGAAAGAACGGGTGGCCAAAAACGAGCTAAACCGTCTGCGTAACCTGGCTCGAGCGCACAAGATGCAGCTGCCCAGCGCGGCGGGCATGCACCCTACCGGACACCAAAGTAAGGAGGAGCTGGGCCGCGCCATGGAGGTGGCCAAGGTCTCCACGGCGTCGGTGGGGCGCTTCCAGGAGCGCCTGCCCAAGGAGAAGGCGCCCCGGGGCTCTGGTAAGAAGAGGAAATTCCAGCCCCTTTTCGGAGACTTTGCAGCCGAGAAAAAAAACCAGTTGGAGCTACTCCGAGTCATGAACAGCAAGAAGCCCCAGCTGGATGTGACGAGGGCCACCAATAAGCAGATGAGAGAGGAGGACCAGGAGGAGGCCGCTAAAAGGAGGAAAATGAGCCAGAAGGGCAAGAGAAAGGGGGGCCGGCAGGGTCCCGGGGGCAAAAGGAAAGGGGGTCCGCCTAGCCAAGGAGGGAAGAGGAAAGGGGGCTTGGGAGGCAGGATGAATTCTGGGCCACCTGGAGTGGGTGGCAAGAGGAAAGGAGGCCAGCACCAAGGAGGAAAGAGGAGGAAGTAGTAGTTTCATCCTGGGACCTCTCCTGTAAGCCGTGAACTGTGTACACGAAACGGTCAGTTCTAGGTACTGTAACGGCGTGCCGAAGGAGGTGGCCGCCGCCCCCCTTGAATGGGTAGGATTACCCTCACTTCAAGAGGGACGTGAGTGTTGAACTCTATAAATGGTTTTCCCGCAGTCGAGACTTTGGAGACTAAGGATTTATTTGAGGACATAAGAATTAAGGAAATAATTTGGTTGTAATCGGGAATCAGCCCTATTCTTAAAAAGCCAACTTTTTTTTTCCTTTTTGACTTTGATATGGGGTGAGGGAGAGTTTGATCGTATTTCAGAGACTTAAAATAGATGGGTTTATACTATAACAAGCTTGTGTTTATTAAAGAGGGAAGAAGGAAGAAAAAAGATGACAAGCATTTTCAGGAATGGATTTACAAATAACTGTTGTAAAGGTTATTTAATAAAAGTGCCTGTATCTAGTGTTGCTTTTAACTCTATTGCTAGAAATTGTACAGTAAGCCAGTGACTCAAATAGACGGTATAGATTATTTTTTTTTACTTCCTAAAAAACAGTGCAGCTAAATTATGATGGTTTCAGTGAGGAAGATGACAAGCATTTTCAGAAATGGATTTACACATAACTGTTGTAAAGGTTATTTAATAAAAGTGCCTGTATCTAGTGTTGCTTTTAACTCTATTGCTAGAAATTGTACAGTAAGCCAGTGACTCAAATAGACGGTATAGATTATTTTTTTTTACTTCCTAAAAAACAGTGCAGCTAAATTATGATGGTTTCAGTGAGACTACTTTTAAAGCAGCTCCTACTTTTTATATCAAATACCACACCTGTGTCTATTTGAAAAAGAGATATGCTTTTCAACACTGAGCACTGATTTTCTGTAAATAAAAATATCGAGCTCATAAGAAAATGGTAATAATCCATCTTCCCACTGTTACAGAGCTGAAAGCCACCCTGCTCTTTCCAGTTTGACAATTGATAGAATATTAAAATTGGGAATTCACTGTTCTTTCGTCAGTGTTGTCTCTATATAAGGTTACTTTTAGAAATTGCTATGAAATAACGAATTGCCAAAAATGCAAATTGTTCAGTTACCACTGTCTTTGGATACCTTTTGATTAAAGTTTAATTTTTGACATTGTTTATCCATTTTTTCACTAAGGCCTGCTAAGCCCTCCCAAAGTATAGGTAATCATGACACGTTGTAACTACTGGTAAAAACCCTTTATTGATCATAGAACAACTTCAAAAGCAAAACCATTCACAGAGCATTTAACAACTTTCAGATTCTGGGGGTTTTTGTTTGGTGAGGGGTTAATAATGTTTTGTTTCATTTTAGGCTTTCTTGATTTAGTAGTGGGATACAGTACTGGTCCTATGTAAAAAACGACCCTCATAGACTTTTCTCAAAAGTCTTGTTTATTGTTAAGAGAATTTTAAAGTCTTGATTTATTCTGAAAATACTTTCGAAAGGCTAAGTATGGGTTTCATGGATTCAGAGTGGAATCCTTGAATCCTTTCCTTCTTTCTAAATCCCCAAGGTGAAAAAAAAAAAAAGAGGACTAAGCAGAAAGAATTAAGGTAGTGCCTCTGACCCTGGGAGCGTTTACCTTCTGCGGCGATTTCAAAGGTGGGCGGTGAGACTGCACTTGGGACAGTTCTGGCTTCTCGTGGGAAACAAAACTGACCACTGCGGAGCTGCAGCGGGGGCGGGTGACCTGGCAGAGCTCCCGGGCAGCGTGGCCCAGTGGGCGGGTCGGGCTGCGGCCGGGATTGGCTGGCAGAGGAGGCGGGTTCTGCGACCAGGACTCCGCTGAGCCATGGCCGCCGCCCGGGCCCGGGTCGCGCAACTGCTGGAGCAGCAGCACCGCGCCGCTGCGTGAGTGGGGGGCCGGCGGGCGGGCAGTGGGCAGCGGGATGCCGCCGTGCCCGCGCAGTCCCCCGCTACGTTCGAGAAGTGAGGGAAAAGGTACTGCAATGCGCTCCCAGCACGCGCGCGGGCGCTGGGCCAGGTCCCATAGCGTTGTCACAGTGTGACAGCCTTGCACAGCTGGAGAGGCAGGTTTACTCTGCTTGTCCACCACTGAGCGAAGAGGCCCAGAGGGGACAGTGTCTGTTCCCATGCCGTGGCAGGCGGTGGAGAGTTTGGCACAGGGGCAAACCCAGGTCTTCAGTGGACATATTTACCGGGTATATATTATGAAATATGTGAACCTCCTTTAGGTTCTGAGGTTACAAAGATGTAAAACTCTGGAGCAATTTAGTCTAGTTGGAACTTGGGTGGGAGGACAGGAGTAAAACAGACCTGTGCAGGACGCAGCTATCAGCGCGTGGCAGGGAAGGATGGATGCGGGAATCGCCAGGAGCTCCACTCCCTGGCAGTACAGGAGTCAGTGGCTTATGACCCACTTGATGCCCTTCTAGCGACTCCAGGTACATAGTAACGGCCTGCTAAATAGTTGAGTGTGCAGCTGCACAAGTCGGCCTGGGGAAACATGGAGACGTTTGAGCTGGTAGGGAGTTAATGTGGGAAAGAAAAGGAACTAGAAAGGATTTCCCACAAAAGGAAGAGCAATGCCAGAGCTGGAGAACTACAGTTCTGAGTCCAAAAGCAGCCCAAGTCTGGACCTCCCTTCACAGGAAGAGGTGAAGACGCAAAGGGCAGATAGTGAAAGACTATGAGGAAGAAAACAGCTGTGTCCACGACTGTGCTCCTGAGCCAACAGGTGGCCTGGAGGTTAAGGCGGCTAGAACTTGGCTGCATGCACAGTTCTAGTCCTGACACAGCAGCTGGAAAACCACTGGGCCTGGGTGTCCACTAGAGGTTGATTTCCCACTTTCTTTCTTCCTCTCCCCCCCCCTCTCTTTAGTAAGTACATGTGCCTTATAGCAAACTTTGAAAAAAAGAAAACTGACAAACGGCACTTACAATGTGCCAAGCACTATTCTACACACCTTACACATCCTAGTAACAGTAACTTTAAGCCTTGCAACAACTCTACATATTATTGCTTTCAGATTAGAAAGAAAGGCATGGAGGAAAATGATTTGTCCAACATCACTCAGCTAACAAATAGTATAGCCATAATTCGAACCCAGATACTCTAGCTTTACACCCTTATTCTCAGGCCTAAAGAATTCAAATTGTGTTCTGTAAATAATGGAAAGGTATTAAAACAATATTTCTCACTGAGACACTAAAACTCAGAATACCTCAAAATGAAAGCATTCCATGGCCAAATAAGTTTGGGAGACTACCAGCTACTGTATAGCCCTCTTGGAGAGTCAGATTACATGTATTAGCACATAAAGGGCTCTAAGAAGCCTGCAGAAGTGTGACTGTGTTTAAATTCTTTGTTTTAGGGACCAGCAGTTAGTGTAATGGCTATGTCACTGAACTCCCATGTAGTCGAGCGCGGTTCGACTCCCAGACCCGGTGGTTTAAACTCAGGCAGTGTGCATGTGTGTGCGTGCCCAAGATCCCGAGGAGAATGAAGAAGCGATTGCAGCGTGGCCATCCTCCCTGGGGGGTGATATCTCTCTTTCTGTCTCTCTGTTTCTGGCGAGTGCACACGCCTTGTAGCAAAAATCTCTCAAAAGAAAAGAAAAAACAACACTTTGTTTTAAACCTGTGTCCTCATAGAACTCTCTCAAGCAACACCACCCATTTTCTTTGGAACGAAGGTCACACTGGTGTTTTTGGAGTGGTTGCATGAGAAGGGAGTGTGACCTGATTAGAGTCATGTCAGTGCATTCAGAGGCCGCGTGGAGCAGAGGAAAAGGCTGGGGGATTGTACTGCCCCAGCTAAAAGAATGGCTCCAGGCACCAAGGAGAGGGCAGACAAGAAATGTCGCAGAGCTGATTAGAATCCACAGGATCGTGTATCTGATCAGTGAGACAGGGAGGCTTTGAGTTTTCTGGCTGGGGCATCAGTGAAACGGTGGAGCCATTTACAAAGGAAGAGGTTAGATGGGCTCTCCAGGGTTCAGGGTCGAGAGCATGAAAAAGAATGAGTCCAGGAGCAGCCAGTGCAGTTGGGGGCAAAAACATGAGCTGTCCTGGAAGCCAGGGAAGAAGGTGTTCCCAGGGGGGAAACAGGAGGATGCCGCGAAGCAGTTCAGTGAGATGAGCACTGACCGGAGAACGTTAGTGGGTAGTCAGCTTGTCAGTGGTGTCGGCAAAAACTCATTGCAGAAGGTTCCAGAGAGAATGAGAGAAGAGAAATTGGAAGCGTGGATATAACCAGCTGAAGAGAGGAGCGGGAGAGAGTTTCTTCCCTAGTTAATACGGGGGCAATATGATTATGGATAAGCTAACATTGTGCTGGTGCTAATGGACAAGATCTAATGGGGGGGAGAGGGAAGGAAGAGTGGCTGTTAACGCCTTTGAGTAAATGAGAGGGGCTAAGATGTAAGACACGGGGAAGGGGCCGGCCTCTGCTAAGAGCTCACCAGTTTATCGGTGACACTAGAAGAGAAGCCAGAGAATTGGGCCAGAGCCAGCGAGGCAGGTGGACGAGGTCCCTGCTCTAACGCAATTTCTCCGCTTCTTGGGAATCAAGGAAGTCCATCGGTGGTTTCAGGCCATCCTGAGATGACAGTTTTAGTGGTGCAGAAGGTGCAGTACCGTGGTTCACAGAGAAAGGGTGTCTTCCTGGGGCTCAGATCTCAGAGATGACTGCTCAGGGAACTGACGGAGAAAGAACAGTTACCCAGAAGGGGGAAGAGAAGTGTGTTCCAAGCAGAGGAAATAACAAGGGCAAAGGTCTAGAGGAAAGAGATGAATTGAGGAAGACAGAGGGCTGGTAGCCCATTTAAGGAAAAGGATGAAATTAATTTTCCAAGAGCTCAATCCCAGAGACAGAGCAAGATGAAGGACCAGGTTGGAGAGATCGGCTGGGCCAGTTGGGTAGAGCCAGTTGGGCAGAGCCAGGTCTGAACTTTATTGCCCAAGCCATAGGAGCCACTGAAGCAGCTGTAAATAAGGGAGTGCCAACAGTGGAAAAGACCTGCAGTGTGGGGAATCAAGGTGGAAAAGGTGGAGCCACGAGAAGCCAGTTAGGAACTTGATGGAAGCCAGATGAGAGAGGAGCACGGGCCCAGGGAGAAGTGAGTAGTGTTGGGGGGGGGAGGGTTGGCAGGGAGGGGTTTGCAATTTGGAGGGGGATAAGCTCTGAAGGGTGGGACAGGAAGAAGAGTCAGAATGACTGAAGGTAGCCCAGAAAAGAACCCAGCATGGAAGGAATGGACAGAGTGGAAAAGGAGCCAGAGAAAGAATGATGAGAGACCCAAGTGAGTGAGGAGTCCTGGAAACCAAGGCAAGACTCTCACCCACCTAGGGAGGGTTCTCAGTGTGCACGGCCACAGAGCCAGGTGCTAGGAGGTCTGGGAAGTGAGGATGCGGCAGAAAGCTGGGACTCGCAGATGCAGTGGCGTAATTTCAGAGACTGAGGAATGTGCTGAAGGCGCTACAGAAAATGTAGGCCAAGTGGGGAGAACCAGAGGATGAGCAACTCCAAGTCTCAAGCAGAAAACTCTCACATGGGATGAGGAGCTTATGAGGAGGAGGACCAGGAAAGGCAGGACAAGCAGATGGAGGCCCCCATAAGGCAAGAGGGAATAAGATACAAACCACAAGTGAGAGGGGTAGGGGGCCAGACAGTGGCCAGTGGCATGGCAGTGAGGCACCCCCACGTGGGAAGGTTCCCTGCGCAGGTCTAGGGACCTCACCTCTCCCACCTGGACTAGTCAACGGCTGGAATGGATCTCTACGTCAAGACCCTGTTGGTGGGACCTCTCTCTCTCTCTCTCTCTCTCTCTCTCTCTCTCTCTCTCTCTCTCTCTCTCTCGTCTCACTCTTGGAAGAAATAAACTTTAAAAAGAATTTGAAGGGGCCAACAGGTGATATGGTGGTTAATGTGCTGGACTCCCACATGGCTGAGTGTGCAATTCAAGGCTCAGACCCAGCAGCAGGAAACTCACGTTGGGCGTGTGTGCACGCATACCCAAAGTCCCAAGAGGAGAATGAGATGGGAGAAGAAGGGATTGCAGCATGGCTGTCCCCCTGCGGGGGGGAGGGGGGATTTCTCATATTCTCTCTGTCTTTCTCTGTCAAGCACATGCACTCTATTGTAAAATTTCTCTTTAAAACAAAAAGGAATTTGAAAAAGTTAGGGGGGAGAAATGACATGGAAGCAGCTTCAGAGGTTGAAAAAATACAATAAAAAGAGAAGAGGGGGTGGGGAGGAGGCATGTGTTCCCAGGAACATTGAGTTGGGCGTTGTGAGTCTGGGTATTTTTCTTCCCTTTGCCTTTCTTTTCTTCTCCTTGGAGAGCTAAAGGAGGGAGAGGCCTGGGAAGTAACACCCAGGAGAAGGAGCCAGCCTGGCCCGGCCCGCCCTCTTCGTCCGGCGGAAGCCGCGCTGTGACCACTAGATGGCAGGCCTGGCTTATGCTAGCTCTCCCTGGCTTTGGAAGTCGGTTTGACTTCTCGGTTCTCAGACTTTTTCCGATTTGGTCATTTCTTTCTTCCCTCAGTCATTGTTTTCATTCCAAATTTGAAATTGGGAGGCGGGTGGGGTGGGTAAGGTATGCACTCAAATATCTACTGAGGCCCTTTTAGGACAAGGTCCTCTGGACCATAGAAAGAAACTTAAAACCGTTTTTCTGACCCCTAGTCAACAAGTAGAAGAAAGAGAAACCAGAGAAGGGACTGTCTGAGAAAGGACCGGAAAATGCCCAGGACCGGAGACAGAAGCCAGGAGAGAGAACGTAAAACGGAGGACATGAGACATCTGTAAAGAAGGCGACTGAGTAGTGAGAGGAGGTGGTGGGCTTCGTGAACAGCTGGTGCCCACATTGAGCAAAGCCAGGCGAGCTGAGCCCCACGAGGGCGCAGCCTGAGGCCACAACCCCTCAGGGAAGTCAGACGGTGCCCAGGGAGGGGTGTAGGTGCAGAGAAGGCTGCCTGGGATAGGCGCCCACAGCCTGACTGAAGAACAATTGAACACCTTGGAGACGCTGGGAAAACACAGGGGAAGTTCCCAGCGTGGTAAGATGAGTAAGAAAGGGAGAGAGTTAACACTAGGTCTATCTGGTTAGTCCACACTCCCAACCTAGTAAGATCTAGAGCCTGTAGAAACCAAGGACCACTGTTTTAAATTTGCTTGTACCTCCAGAGTGTTCATTTCAGTTGCCCACAGGCGTTGTTATTAGGTCCTGCCCGAATAAATGAGTTCATGAAAGAATGATCCGTGAATGCTGAAAACACATGAAGACACCTTTTTATCCATAGTGACTTCTGGATTTTTTCTATTGAACAGTGTCTGCCAATAACTGCTAGTTTGATAACGACTTAGGGCTAGAATGCAATGCGAGTGACTTTAATTAAGGCCTCTCATTTCTGGCGTTCCAATCCTATTGTACATCTTTCTCTTTTTTTGTCTTTTCCCTAGATGCCAGTGCCCAACTCATTCTCATACCTACTCCCAAGGTAATATGTTGTTTTTAAACTAGCTGTAATCTTGGTTTCTAAAATTGGCATTTATACACTGGGGTGAAGCGTGAAACTACACAATCAAGGCATGTGAGAAGCTTGATGAAGTTACTTTTTTATTATGAAATTAGTAAATGTATCTTTAACTACATATTAGTTGAATGTGTTTGTCTTAAACATATATTTAATACTCTTTATAGTGCGTTTCTATTTTATTGAGTTATTTGCTAAAGTGCAAAATGGACAGGGAAGATTTTAAGAATGTCTGAGCTCATCCAGCAGGATTAACTGCGACAAAGTCTTTGGACGATTCTAAAATATTTCTAAAAGAAAGAGGCTAAAGAACAAGGTGGCTCCTAGAAGGAAAACCTCGTATCAATTTAAAAAAATTTGATTTCTTAGTAATCAAAAATAATAGCAAAAGTTTTTCTTTTCCACAAATGTCTTAATCATTACCAGACTTCACTGTCCGCAGAGTAGCAGGACACTCTTCTGTAGTTTCAGTGCATCCTTAGAATGTCACATGAATTATTAACTCAAAAGATGATTTTGCTTCTTGGGAGAAAAGGTCAAATCTAACAAGGAGTTGAGAGCTGAACCGAGGATGCCTGACTATATGGGACCTAAATGGGAACCAAGGAGGAAAGTGCAGAAAGAGCAGATAACTAGGGCGTTTGCTTTCCTGTGGGTGGCCTACCCTTCAGGACCAACCGAGGGACATCGGGTCATTGATGGCTGTCTATAAGGCAGGAGCATGCTGGGACTCTAAGATTCCCCTGAACAGATGCAAATTTTGTCTTCAGCTGTTTTTCTCCAATTCTTAGTTTGTTTCAACAGTGAATCAATAATTTCCTATTTGGGGAAATAAAATTAATAATTTAGAGAAAGATGATCTCACTGTTTGTTATAATCAGATTATGTCTTTGCCTAAAATTCAGTGACAGGAATAATATTTCTTTAAAGCCTAGAGAAATCAAAGAAATTTAAGTTTTGATAAGTTCTTCACTTTCAGGAAGCCATAGAAAGATTGTTGTCCAGATCTGGTCCCTTTTTCTTAAACAAAACTGAAATAAAACAAAGCATACACACACAAACAAGGCAATGAAAATAGTTGTGTAGACTTTTATTTATCTTATGGCTGACTAGTACTGATATAAATAAGTAGATAAAAACAAGGATAAAATTCATTAACTGAGGCCCTCTTATTGTTCCAACATGACAGAATATCATTTTTACCATAACTAAACCTGATACTTTGCAAGGTAATAGAAGTTTATAAATTTTTAAATTAAATTTCACCAAGAAAACTAAACTTTTATATGCATAAGCTTGGGAAATAGAAATATCTTACTGTAATAAATTATCTCTAATAAAAATGTCTTAAACAATCATGGTTGCTATAAGAGATGTAATCAGAACTATAATTAGTTGTTCTCTAAGACTCTAGACTATAGAGAATATTTTTTCCAAAAGATTTTTATACATTATGTTTTCAAAAATATTTCATTTCAATGGAGAAAATATTTAAGTAAATATATTTTCACAAAGTCAGCATCAAGTTGGCATTATATCTTATTTTAAAATGTAAGTTTTCATTTCATTTTGATATGCAACAATGAAACTTAAAATATACACTGCTGTACTTTACTATCAAAGATCAGGTACCAGTTTACTGTCAAATAACATTATGCTCTATTTTTGAGGCCTCCTCTTATGTTAATTTTTACATTTCTAGCTCCTGGACTTTCACCTTCTGGGAAGACAACAGATTATGCCTTTGAGGTAGATTTTATCAATCCATTCTTTCTTTTATGAATGACCTGACAAAAATACAGCTAGAGTATTTTGCAAATGCATTATTATTTCATTTGAAATATGGTATCATTTGATGTTCCATAATCTCTATTTGATCAGGCTATTTAGCAAAGTACCTTGTTAGGATAATGGAATATAAATCTTCTGAGAACATGAGTAATGTCTAAAATACTGTCTTTTGTACAATAATTAAAATAACATCCCAGTACTACAAATTCTCCAATTAATATATGCTATATGTTAAATCGTTAGTTTTGCAATTAGAACAATCCCGAGAGGTCAAAGAAATCTGTTGAAACAAGAGTAAAGGAATAATTATTCTGGGGCATTTTTATCACACTGTAATTACATAATTACTTGTAATTATTTGTTTAAATCCCTGTCTCCTCCTAGTCCAGGAATCATAAATTAAAATGTCACCAGGGCCCTCACAGTTAATCATCTGGTGAGCAGGCTGGATAAAGCCAGGGTGACAGCACAGGCCTTGTCCAAAGGGCATAGCCCCCACAGGATTGCTGCCATGGGGAATGCAGTCCCCGTGTTACCAGATTCAAGACAAAGCAAAATCCAGATGCTCATATTGAATTTGTTTACCCTGATTTCTAATTGTTTTTAGCCAATTCAGAAAGAAAAAAATTAGGCTCAGCCACAGTGGTTCACAATGCGTAAACACTGCTCCACAGGATGGGACCACATGGGAATCCTGTGTTCAATTCCCAGTCCCACTTAAAGGTTGGGTGTGGTAGCATGTGCCTGTAATCCCAGTGAGTCTTGAGGCTGAAGCAGGAGGGTCATGCATGGAGATATCCTATCTTAAAACAAACAAACAATAACAACAACAAAAATTTTTTAAGGAAGAAGGGAGGAAATAAATTTTAACTCAACCTGGATTGGGCCCAAAGCATCATTAGTACAAAAGGTCTGGTCTCAGCTGTGAACTGTGTTTCTCTGATTCATAGTTGTGTTACCAGAATTAGCACACTGCCTAGAGCACAGCAGACCCCGGTAGCACTGGGTGAGTGACTGGGTGGGAACGTGCATTGATACATGGATGCAAGTATGCAAGGTGGTTGGGTGGATGGATAGTTGGATGAATGAGTAGAGAAGCAAAAACTACTCAGAGGAAATAATCATTAAATCCAAAAGTAAGAAATTTGAGATTTAGGTATGGAGGGAAGGGAAGGTGATCATTTGAAGCTGAGGAAACAAATGGGAGTCTATGATACATTTAGGAAAAGATAAGAAAGTTCAATGTGACCAGAGCCAAGGTTTACTTTAAAAAGTGTGGTGAGGGTCAGCCCTTGGCATGGAGGGTAAGGCACTGGATCCCACATGATCCACTGTGTGGTTTGAGTCCCAGGCCTAGTGGCTTGAAAAACTGGTTGGGTGTGTGCATGTGCATGTCTGAAATCTCACAAAAGGGGAAAAATGGAGAAGGGATTGTAGCATGACCGTCCCCCATGCTGGGGGTGTGTGTCTTTTTCACTTTCTATCTCTGTCTCTCCTGAGCACTGGCACTCTATAGCAAATTATATTTAAAAAAAAAAAAAATGTGGTGAGTCTGAGGCCAGATGAGGGTGACAGAGAAGACCATGATAAAGAGTATGTACTTAATTCTCCAGACAATGAGGACTCACATTGATTTTTTTTTTAATTTCAGAAGTGGCAAATTCTCTAATATACTCTACATTTAAGTCTTCTTTTTCTTTTTTTGTTTTTTTTTTCCAGATGGCTGTTTCAAATATTAGATATGGAGCAGGAGTTACAAAGGAAGTGGGCATGGCAAGTATCTGTGAGTCTAGGGTCTTCTGATAAACAAGTTAAATGTCTTGTAATATAAGAGTTAACCAACAACCATGGAGGACTTTATTGTTAAACCTGTACTGCATTAAGTGGTACGTTCGCAGAGAGTCTGTCATAGTTCTAGTGCAATCAAACCTAATTTATCATTTCTTTTTGGTAGGACCTACAAAACATGGGAGCTAAAAATGTTTGCTTGATGACAGATAAGAACCTCTCCCAGCTGCCTCCAGTACAAATAGTTATGGATTCGCTAGTGAAGAACGGCATCAACTTCAAGGTTTATGACAATGTAAGGGTGGAACCAACGGATCTAAGGTATCCTTGTGTTGTTGTTATTTTGCTTTAAGCAGAAGCTAACAGGCCACTGTTGTTTAAAACTTGCCCCAGGGGCCCGCCAGTGGCATTAAGTGTTGCCCCACTGGGCCAGCCACACCATTTGACTCCCTGACTCTGTGGCTTGAAAACTATGCAAAATTGCATGCCCAAAGTCCCGAGAGAAGATGTGACTTTTCCGTTGCAGAGAGTTACTTGAAACACACAGAATAACTACTCGAGACACAGAAGACTGAGTTGAGAGGGAGAGGCCATAGGGGATTTGTGCCTTCTGAGTCTCCCTGATCCTCTGTATTTATTAGGGTAAAAGAGAAAGGAATGTTTTGTTTTGTTTTGTTTTGTTTTGTTTTGTTTTGTTTTGTTTTGTTTTGTTTTAGTGAGAATGTGTGCACTCACCAGAGAGACAGAAACCACACACATCCCATCCCCCCACCCCTTGGGGATGGCCATGTTGGTCATGCGCTGGGGGGCATGAGTCTAAGCTGCCGGGTCCTGGACTCAAACCACAGTCGACTACATGGGAGTCCAGCAAGGCCTACTGGTCCCAGAATGTGTTGTTTTTTAGAGAAGACAGCAGTAAGGATTATATCCTTGGGGCATGTAGATTTCAGTTGGGCCAGCAGGTGGCATAGTGGTTTTAAAAAGAAGTATTGTCAGACAACCTTTAGAATTTGAAAAACACAGACCATCAGATAACAAAAAAGAGCTAAGTAATCTCCGGTTGTTTGCAAGCAGAAAAGTATGAGCTCAGTGTTGCACCAAGTTCCCTAAGCAAGCATTCACTCGTGCATTCAAAGTGTATAAATCCATGGTGTTCGGGAAGCATGAAGTTTGTGTTGTTCCCTAACAAGAATGGAGAAGGGATTACAGCATGGCCATCCTCCTGAGGGGTGCTTTCTCACTTCCTCTCTCTCTTCCCTAGGCAAGTGCATGCACCCTATAACAAACTTTTTTTACAAGAAAAGAAAAAGAGGGGCTGACAGTTGGCGTGGTGGTTAAAGGTGTTGGACTGCCTCATGGCAGACCGCGGTTCGAGTCCTGGATCTGGTGGCTTGCTTTATCACTTTCCCTCTCTCTCTTTCTCACTCTATCCTTCTCTGGTCAAATTAAATAAATAAATAAATAAATAAATAAAGCTAAATAAGATACTTCTTAAGAAAAGAAAGAACTTGTCCCAGTCCTTATTTACAGGCATGACAATTTATTACTGAAAAATATGACATGATAGTTTTTCTGTTTCTTTTCCAAGCTTTATGGATGCTATTGAGTTCGCCAAAAATGGAGCTTTTGATGCCTATGTTGCTGTGGGTGGCGGCTCTGTCATGGACACCTGTAAAGCTGCTAATCTGTACGCATCCAGCCCTCACTCTGACTTCCTAGATTACGTCAACGCCCCAGTCGGGAAGGGCATGCCTGTGTCTGTGCCTCTTAAGCCTTTGATCGCAGGTAAAGACTGTTTTATTTTGCAATTGGCAAAAGACCTTAGAAAAGATGGAAGCCAATACTTTTAGGATCTGTTTCAAAACCTTTCTGATTTGTTCATGTCAAATTGATGCCGTGTTTGAACACTAAAACAGATAGCAATTCATTCATTTGAAAATTCTGATCTTCGTTATTGTACAGATAGAGATAGTGAGGCTCAGTGGCAGCAAAATCTGCAGATTTAAGCCACAGAGTCACGATGAGGAGGGGGAAGGTCCTCACTCACATATGACTACATCCCTCTGTTGGCAACTTTGTCCCCTTAACCCCTTCTGTTTGATCCCTTGTTGCCAGCCATTATGGCATTCAAGGAGAACATTCGCTGTTATGTTTCTGATGCTGACTCAGCCTTTCTTCCACACAATGGCTGTTCAGCTAACCTCGAGCTTTGTCCCTGTCCTGGGACATGTGGCCAGCAGGTCTACATCACTGTGGGTGGTATCTGTTCTATGGCTGCCCCGGACACAGACACGCAACACCAAAATGGGGTAGTTTGTTTGACAGAGACCTTGGGATTTTCCAGTGTTTTCTTCCCTCCAGTTTTTAGGGCTGCTGACACATAGCTGTTTAAAGTGTTAGAGCAGAAATGCACCAAGTGGTAGTGGGGAACATCCTCAGTTTAAAGTTCTGCCTGCTCTTCTTCCCCTATCCCACCCCTATTCTGAAGGGGCTTGTGCTGGATTTACAGGACTGCAGTGAGCCTCCAGCCCACAAGCTGCTCTGACGTAAATGAGCAGCCAGCAGGGAGCAGCATAATTGGTGCCTTGCAAATGGAACCTTGGGGAAGCTGTGCCAACACCACACAGAGGGGTGATTGGGAAAGTTTAGAAACTTGGCAGACCTACAGAACCCTAAAGTCTAGAAAGGCGGGGCATTACCATGCTCATCTCATTGCCAAGAGGGAGTAACATGTTTTGTGGGTTTTTTTAATAAATAATTATTTAACTTTTTTATTATTTATTTTACTTATTTATTATTATTTGACCAGAGAGGGACAGAGTGAGAGAGACAAAGAGAGAAAACAAGATGCAAGGTCCAGGACTCAAACTGCGGTCAGCTGTGTGGGAGTCCAGTGCCCTTAACCACCATGCCACCTACTGGCCCCATGGGAGTAAGGTGTTCTTTAGGGACAGCAAACAGGAGTTATCTTATAGAAGTGCAGAGCAGCATGTTTCTGAATATCCAGCTGCAGCTGCTGAAGCTCAAGTGCTGGAGAGCCTGAGGTTCCCAGAGCTCATGCTATTAGTATGGACATAGATATCAGAGGTATGTGTGATTAGTGCACGTGTGTATTACCAGAGACAGACATCATGTGTGCCTATTAACACAGATACAGAGATCACATACATATGAAACACATCTGCATGTCAATGCAGCCATAGATACATATTAAACACATGTTTATGTAGACACAATATACATATCAAACACATACCTATTAATGCAGATATCATACACATTAACGCATGTATGGTAAACATACTTGCATATTGTTGCAGGCATAGGCATCATACATGTGTGTTGGCAGATACAGAGATTACACATACATATGAAATACACATGTATGTTGATGCAGGCGTAGACATCACATGTTTTGAACCCACATGCATATTCTTGCAGCAGATACTGACATGATATGTGTTATACATGTGTATTGGTACAGACAAGACAGCAACATATATGTTAAGCATACATATGTGCTTACACAAATACAGACCTCATACGTACTTACTAGCAGAGACACAGACATCATACACACATGTTAATTCAGGCACAGGCATCCTACGTGTTTGGCTTACATACGTGTTAGTACAGATGTAGACATCAGGCAAGCAACAGGGTTAGCAAAGCTTCTGCTCTAATTTTGTTCCTTATTCCTCAGGCTTGACCAGAGAGGGACAGAGTGAGAGAGACAAAGTGAGAAAACAAACTGCAAGGTCCAGGACTCAAACTGCGGTCAGCTGTGTGGGAGTCCAGTGCCCTTAACCACCATGCCACCTACTGGCCCCATGGGAGTAAGGTGTTCTTTAGGGACAGCAAACAGGAGTTATCTTATAGAAGTGCAGAGCAGCATGTTTCTGAATATCCAGCTGCAGCTGCTGAAGCTCAAGTGCTGGAGAGCCTGAGGTTCCCAGAGCTCATGCTATTAGTATGGACATAGATATCAGAGGTATGTGTGATTAGTGCACGTGTGTATTACCAGAGACAGACATCAGTAAGGTGTTCTTTAGGGACAGCAAACAGGAGTTATCTTATAGAAGTGCAGAGCAGCATGTTTCTGAATATCCAGCTGCAGCTGCTGAAGCTCAAGTGCTGGAGAGCCTGAGGTTCCCAGAGCTCATGCTATTAGTATGGACATAGATATCAGAGGTATGTGTGATTAGTGCACGTGTGTATTACCAGAGACAGACATCATGTGTGCCTATTAACACAGATACAGAGATCACATACATATGAAACACATCTGCATGTCAATGCAGCCATAGATACATATTAAACACATGTTTATGTAGACACAATATACATATCAAACACATACCTATTAATGCAGATATCATGCACATTAATGCATGTATGGTAAACATTCGTGCATATTGTTGCAGGCATAGGCATCATACATGTGTGTTAGCAGATACAGAGATTACATATACATATGAAATACACATGTATGTTGATGCAGGCATAGACATCACATGTTTTGAACCCACATGCATGTTCTTGCAGCAGCAGATACTGATATGATATGTGTTATACATGTGTATTGGTACAGACAAGACAGCAACATATATGTTAAGCATACATATGTGCTTACACAAATACAGACCTCATACGTACTTACTAGCAGAGACACAGACATCATACACACATGTTAATTCAGGCACAGGCATCCTACGTGTTTGGCTTACATACGTGTTAGTACAGATGTAGACATCAGGCAAGCAACAGGGTTAGCAAAGCTTCTGCTCTAATTTTGTTCCTTATTCCTCAGGCTGAATTAGATAGCGCTACTGATTTTTATTTAGGTGCTTTATTAATATTAATGTTATTTTGTTCCAAGTCCCAACTACCTCAGGAACTGGAAGTGAAACTACCGGGGTTGCCATTTTTGACTATAAGCACTTGAAAGTGAAAACTGGTAAGAATTTTGCCCATCATTTTTTTTAATTGTCTCTCTGATCTTTCAGCCCCACCCCTTTTTCTTTAACCCTAATATCTAAAACTTAAGGTGTTATGGCATTAAGGAAAAATATATATGATGCACATTTTTCCAAGTACATATAAAAATATAAAAGTCTAATAAACTTCTTTTTGAGAATTACCTATAAAAGCATATTGAAATGCCATGAATCTTAACCGATCTTTTTTTCTTCCCAAGCTACTGATTTTATCAATGATAAAATGGTGTTTCCCTTCTCCAATGTCTTCTTTACATTTTAAATCAATCTTACTGGGATGTGATTTTTACATAATAAAGACCTTTTTTTTTTTTTTTGAGAGGTTTTTGCCTTAGGGTGTATGTGCTTGCCAGGGAGAGAGAGACAGACAGACAGACAGACACATTGAGAGGGAATGTGAGAAATCACCTCCTAAGGTGGATGGCCACATCATAATCCCCTCTCCTCCATTGTTCTCTCAAGATCTTGGGCATGCACACACATGTACCACACCACCTGCCAGCCCCAAAGTGCATACATTTTAAAAGTCCAATTTGATGAATTTTAACTAACACAGACACTCCGACACAACCCAAAGCATTTACATCATCTGGAAAGTTCCCTCATGCTCTGTCCCCTCCAGTCCCCCTACCCCCATTTCCAGGTTCTTCTGTTCTGCTTTCTGTCTTCTTAGTTATTTTTATCCTATCTTCTTCTTTCTCATGGACTCTCAGCTAATGTAATAGAAACGTCTCTCTCCTGGAGTCTGATTCAATATCCTGCTCCACTCCTTTGTAAGCAGAAGACATTCAACCGCTCACTTACAATAACTTCTCTTTTTCAAATTAAATTACATTCTCCTTTAACATTGTTAAAGGTAACAGTAGTAATGACCAGCATATAAAGTCTACCTTATAGTTGTTGTTTTTTGTTTTGTTTTGTTTTGTTTTAAGTTTACTTATTCCATGAGTGAGAAAGACAAAGACAGCATCCCAATAGGGTCTTGACACCATGGTTCAGCCGCCGTCTCAACCAACCCAGATCATGTGTGTGCCCAGTGTACGCAGTGAGGTCTCCAGCTGCAAACTAGCAACTTCCCCATTGGGTCAGCCTCACAGACCCTTTCACTTTACCACTGCACCATCATTCAGCCCCCAAATTCTACTTCACAGTTTTTAAAATACTTTTATATAATATTATCTATTTGATCTCTACAAGATTTTCAGGGATAGAGGCCTTGTGTTATTATAATCTAATTTTATAGAGAACTCAAAGAGGCTAAGTGACTTGCCCAAAGGCACAAAATAAGTTGCAGAGCAAATTACTGGCAGTGGTATGGTAGTATGCCAGCTCTCTGGAATTTAATAAGTAAATAAGCACTGATTTGTAGCACTTGCCAATTTCTGTGGTGTAAATACTCCCACCACAGCCAATGGCACTACTCATCCAGGAGCTAAGAACATGCTGTCGGCTCTTGGGAACTAGTAGGAGCAGCTGCAGCATTCCACTGAAAACCCACATTTCTGATTCCAGATCTCTTTCCTCTGCTCCTTGCTGCCTCCTTACATGAGAATAGACCTTTTATTTTCTTGTATCTTTTTATGAACAATTTATTTTACAAAGTTAATTCTTTTTTTAAAATGATACTCATACCTTTAGCCTTGATTAAAGCTCGTGTTTTTAGGCATTGCTTCAAGAGCCATCAAACCCACACTGGGATTGATTGATCCTCTGCACACCCTCCACTTGCCTGCCCGAGTGGTCGCTAACAGTGGCTTCGATGTGCTTTGGTAGGTATGGTACCACCTGGAGGGACTTTTTCAGTACCAGGCCTATGGACAGGATTGTATTGCTCAAAGAACTTTATAGGTATTCACTGACTAGAATTCCACAACACCCCCAGCCTTGGCTGTCATTATCTCCTTTCCTAGATGAAAACATTGAAAGTGTAAAGGCTAGTGACTGGGTGAGGTCCAGGTGAGCCTCGGATCTGCCATTCAGAATAGACCACACTGGCCACAATCATGGCCATGAGGATGCAACTAAAGGAGCAATTTGAGCTGGCATGCAACGTCCCAGGACCACACCACTAACCTTGACAGCTGTGCTAACTAGGGAATGCTCAGGGCTGCACACACAGGAGACAGAGGGCAGGGAAGGTGCTAACATCTCCAGGGCACTGCCAGGACTGTGCACACTGTCCCTGCTTCGTACACATCATCACCTCACGGCCACACTGTGGATACATGACCTTCACTTCATTGAAACAGACAACTGTGTTTGAGGTGTTGAGTAACTTCAGAGTATTACCACATGCACTCTTGGCTCCCACGTGATGTGCCCACAGCTCCCTCATCAGCTTTTCAACCCTCGACCTCACATTAGTTCCAGTGGCCTCATGGGTGGTTCACATTCGGCATATCTCAAACAGCCCTATTCTATTCAGAACATATCTTAAAATCTGTGGAATATAGTCAGTGGTACATATTTTTAAATGGCGCCTCTTATAATAATGCACGGGATGTTCAATCTGTTGAAATCTGGTAACTCTCAATCACTTGACACCCCCCAGCTTCTCCTCCTTAATCCCTGAGCTCAGCAAGTAGCAGAATTTGATATGATTTCTCTCTTCTCATACCCATCCCAATGAGCAGTTCTTTTCCCCTGTCCTGCTTGAATCTCTCTTACATCTGCTCTCTCTGGTTAAGTTGCATTGCTCCGGCCTTGGTTCAGGCCTGCCCCATCTCTCACATGAACTGTTGCAGTAGCCTCCTTATCAGTCTCCCTGATTCCATCCCATAATCCTTCCATCTGTTCTCCATCCTGCCTTCAGTAAGCTTCCAGAATTCAATATGGTCACACATACACACACACTTCAACCTAACAGGTCTTTGAGTGGCTTTCCACACCTACTGAACAAAGACCAAACTCCTTAAGCCTTGGACTGTCCCCAGTGCTCAGCTCTGTCTTTGCTCGGAGGACTCATTTTTTAATTCCATGGGAGTTTCCACTCCTTGATGGAACCTTTGTGGACTCTCCCTTTCCCTCAAGTACTACTGACCACTTGTCCTTCGTTCATCCCTACTGGGAGGTGAACACATTATTTCTGAGGAAGCCTCTCTGCAATGAGTGTGGTGAGGACAGGGCGAACTCACTCACTTCCATATCCCTGCCTCTTGTCACAGTGACTGTCACATCTATGTACTGAATTAATCCCTGTTGAATGAAGTTCACCACAAGCAGGAGGTGATGGAGTTAGGCTCACATTCCAGACCTATCCAAGTCCATAGTCCACTTTCTGCCAGAGGACAGTAGAAGATTGTATCTGACTCCAGCTCTAGTCAGTATTGTCAGAACTTTGATGAGCTCCTCTTAATAACTTGGAAATAAGGAAAATAAGATTATTTCCCTAGTTGCAAACTGAACAGTAAATAAATGATGGCCCACGAATCTCCTTTAAGTGAATGACTCACAGGCCCCATGATTTTACGGCCAAGGGGCAGGGGGTGGTTCTCCACTATGAAGAAGGGAGCATGATGGTAGTTGCTCATCCAAGTACTGAGTGAAGGTAAAAAGAGAAAAACCTGGCCTGAGAAATGTTCCTGTGAGATCCAGTGACCTGTTTTGTGTTTTGTTGTTGTTTGAGGTGTTTTTTGGTTTTGTTTCTGGTCTTGGTTTTTTGTTGTTGTTGTTGTTTTTTGGGGGGGGAGTTTGTGTGTGTGTGTGTGTGTGTGTGTGTGCTTGTGTGTTTTGAGAAGTTTTTGTTTTGTTTTGAGAGGTTTTTGCCATAGGGCACGTACACTCACCAGAATGACAGAGAGAGACATAGAGACAGAAAGCGAGAAATCAGCCCCCAGGGGGGATGGCCACGCCGCAATCCCTTCTCCACCATTCTCCTTTCAGGATCTTGGGCATGCATGCACACGTGCCCAACATGAGTTTAAGCCACAAGGTCTGGGACTCGAATCACGGTCGACTACATGGGAGTCCAGCCACATAGCCATTACGCCAACTGCTGGTCCCTTGTTTCTGTTTTTTAATTTGCCAGAGGGTACATGCACTTGCCAGACAGAAAGGGAGAGGGAGAAACCACCCCTCAGTGAGGCATGGTCACACTGCAATCCCTTCTCATTTTTTTCCATCCTGTCAGGATTTGGGGTACACACACACTCATGCCTAGCATGTTTCTCAAGCTGCCATAACTAGGATTTGAACTATGATCAGCCATGTGGAAGCTAGATTCCCTAACCAGTAGGCTACAGGGACAGCCCTCTCCCTGTCTTTAAGTCACAGGGAGAGTAGTGCCTCACCCCAGATTATACCCGAACAGCTGACTACAGAGTCTGCTTTCTTATCCACTGAACCATACTATTTTTTTCCCTTTGATTATGCTGGAAGGTATGCATGTGCAAGAGTGTGCAAAAGAAAGAAAGAGGGAGAAAAACCATTCCTCACCCCCCCTCCCCAGTGGGGCCTAACCATGTCTCAATACTTTTCCTCCAGTTCTCCATCCCATTGGGGTCCTGGGTGGATGCACACTCACCCAGCATATACCATACTCGTAATAGGACTCTAAGGTTACTATGACCCTCCTTTAGTAATGTGGTAGTTGATCAATGCAACACATAAAATGGTAATTGTCTTCTATAAGAAAGTCTATTTTTAGGTTCATTGCATTTTTTTGATGGTTCAAATGTTTACTAATTTAGCATCATGAAGATTTCTTTACTTTGGAAAAGGATCATATGTTATTGTATACATATGGGTCAAAAACACAGGTGCTGTTAATGTAAACTTCACTGTATTACAAGGGGTCTTCCAGAGGGTCATGGAAAATGTGCATTATGAAAGAACCATGTGTAGATTTCAGATATTTTTGGTAACATAATAAACTCATGATTTAATTTTATTTTTCTCTACCAACTTTTTTTTTTTTTTGAGAGGTTTTCGTTACAGGGTATGTGTGCTCATTGGAGAAGCAGAGAAAGACAAAGAGACAGAAACAAGAAATCACACCCCCCCTGGGGATGACCATGCCACACTCCCTTCTCCTTCATTCTCCTCTTGAGATTTTGGGCATGCACACACACTTGCCCAGCATGAATTTCAAGCTGCCGGGTCCAAGACTTGAACCACAGTCAACCATGTGGGAGTGTAGCAACGTCATCATTATGCCATCTACTGGTCCTACTCTCTACCTACTTTTTAAAGACCCTTATAACCTCTACAATAAGGGATCACTGCCCTAGACAAGCTGACTGGTGGCATGTATTGAGAGCCTCAGCACTAAATAGCGTGTTCACAGTGGGGTGGGTGCTGAGTGTCTCCAAGACAGTTTGTAATATGAACAAAAGGAAGGAGGAAGACCTCACTTTCACTATGTGCACTTTAAATATTTCTTGTTAGCCATGCCCTGGAGTCCTACACTGCTCTCCCCTACCACATGCGAAGCCCCTGCCCTTCAAATCCCATCTTGCGGCCAGCCTACCAAGGCAGTAACCCGATCAGCGACATTTGGGCCGTCCACGCACTGCGGATCGTTGCTAAGTATCTGAAGAGGTATGTCACCCTGAAGGGGACAGAAACAGAACAGAAAGGCTGCATGCTACCCTCACACAAAACATGGCATGTCTGATCCTGATATGGCCTGAGCAGGTCTGCTCCCCAGAAGATGGATCATTAGCCTTAGGGAAACACCAGAGACCAGCAACTTCTGAAGGGAGCAAACGGGTGGACAGACAAAAATTGGATTGTTTGGTCTAAAAAGGCCAAGGCTCCCAGGAGACAAAATAGAGCCCCTCATTTCTGAAGGATACACATAGAATACATGAAGGTTGGTTGACCAAACCTAAAACCAAAGCTAGGAAGAGGAGAGTGTCCCCTGGGATGTGGCTACCCAGGGCAGAAACGAGAACCACACAGGCAGATGCCGCCCGTGCCCGTTCAGGCCCCGTCCAAAAGCACATGGGAGGACCGCTGAGGGAGCTCACATGGCCTACATTTAAGAAAAAAAGGTGCAGAGATTGTTGACTCAGAAGATTATAAAAGGCAGAAAATGCAAAAGGGTTCCTAGAAAGTTTTGAACGATTTATAAATAGCAACATCAAGATACACACATTTGTTATCATTGACTACGAGAAAGCATATAGCAACAGGCTCCTGAGAGAGAGAAGCTCTCCTTAAGAGGTGAGAGCTTATACCTGAGGTTTTGTTTTTTTTAAAAATTATTTAATTTAATTTTATTTATTATTATTATTATTTTATTTAAGGGGGGGGGGAGTAAGAAAGCCAGCAGCAAGGTCTGGGATTCAAACCACAGTTAGCCATGTGGGAATCCAACACCTTAACCACCACACCACCTGACAACTGATACAAGAGGTTTTAAAACGTAGGCAAAGTCTGACTCACTTTCATATTTAAAGTTGTTTTTTTTTTTTTTTTTCCCCTCATAGGGGGGGGGACCGGGGAGAAAGAGGAAGAGAGAGACAGGCACCCTCAATAAGTCCTCAGGCTGTGATCCTGTCCCCAGCCTCAGGTAGCCCAGACCACAGGCACATGTGCATGCAGGCGAGCACAGGGAGACTCAGGGTGTGAACCCAGGACCCTCGCATGTGGCCTCAGCATCATGGAATTTTGCGTCACTGCAGTGCCACAGCAGCTGGCCCACTTTTGCACTTACACCTAAAGGAGGGAACGGACACCAGCGGGTTCAGCCCAGGTATGAACGCAGTGCCTCTGGCCTTGAGCTAGAAGCCCCACCGGAGAGGTGGCCTTGGAATTGCATTTTACAAAACAAACAGCAGGAAGGGGCACACAACTGTTGCAGACTCCTACAGACCCCGAGGGAAGCCCAGCAGCATTTGACTAGATGAAGTGAACACAGGCCACAGGGAACCAATCTGTTTGCCAGGGATGAAGGCTGATCGTTGCCACAGTGGGCATGAGGGCTGTGACAGACTGAGGAAAGCCCCATCACCCCAGTCACCTCATGATTCAGGAAATAAGACACTAGCATTGGGTTTTGGAAAGGAGACACAAATGACCAGCCATTCCAAAGGAAAGGAGGAAAAGAGCTCGGCACTTTTACTTCATAGTAGAACTCAGAATCATGAAAAACCAAATGAGGAGCGGGCCCACTTGGCAGTCTTCATGCTTCCTCCCTGGAGCAGGGTTTCCCAGCACTGTGTACAGGAAGCTCAGTGCATCTGAAAAGGGCCTTTTGAGGATTTGCTCTACCAAAGCGGCACAGGGACACAGAGCACGCAAAGCCTCCGCCTACAATAACATCCCACTTCCACAATAACACTAAAATAGATGTGCAGCCTCCACAGACACCCAAGGAGGCCCCTAGTGGGTTTGATTAGGGCTAGAGTCACAGAAAGAAAGATGGCTGGGTGGCTGGTCTGGCCCACAGGTAGCCCCAGGCGACAGGGCTCACTTCAGCAAGCCAGCCTCCATCCTGCCTGACTGGTGCTTTTTGAGAATATGTTTACTCTGAGTCTATTCATGGCTGCCTTCAGGGTCACTGACAAATGAAGAAGAAGAATGAGTCTCAGGGCACTTTGTAGAGCAGCTCCCACAGTCCAAGGATCAGTGCTTTGCTTCTCCCCGCACTTTTGTACCACACGGGCAGCCTGACAGCATATTTATTATGCCTTTGCTGAAACTGTTGATGAGAAAATATGCTTCCCTTCGGTTTTCATTTAGAAGACAAGGCGTCATTTGAATAACTTGCCTAATTTTTCTTCCTACTGAGTAGCATTTCTTTCTTTCTCCCCCCTCTCCAGC